CCAGATCCTCCAGCAGAGACCGGTCCACCGTGGACAGACCCAGATCCAGCTTCACTGCAGCCTTGGACCTGCAGTCGGAGCTCCGGATGGAGGAGGAGAGCTCAGCTCCCGGCAGCAGCAGCGTCCCCTCCTCCTCCTCCAGGAGCAGAGCTTCTCCTCTCTGGGAGCCAACACCGACACCACGCTGCTGGAGACCCAGGACGTATTGCTGGACCCGCTGGAGGGAAGGGAGGGACAGGAGAACCAGAACCAGGACTGAGAGGGGCAGACTGTCAGACCCTGCTGCAGTAAAATGAGAGGTTTTCTAAAGAGACTCTGGTGCTCAGAGACACTACCACTTTGTCCACGGAGGCCGAAAAAATCAACTCAAAATGGAAGTTCCTCCGAGTGACTTTGACTTATACAATGTAATGTGTCCGTGAAGATTGTGATATCGATGTCATGTGACTTTCATAGAAATGTCACCTTTGTACAGACGTATCAACTATTTCACAAAAGTATGATTTTTGCCTGAAAATAACGAACTGTGGGTTTCAACACATCTTGTGCAATAGACTGGAATCCTTAAAGGCTTTCAAAACCCAGTGCAAACACAGCCTCAGTCACAGATGCATACACAACCATGCACAGACTAAAGGCAATCACTAGTTGATACACAAAGAGCAAACGCACATTAATACTGAGACCTTCGAGAAAAATACAACAGCACCACTCTACGGGAAAGCAAACCACTGAAAGTCGACATAATCACAGGCGCATCTGGAGAGGAGCTTCTCCTGGTTATCGTGTGGGAGGAGAGATTCACATCCACGAGCCGATTCAAGAAAAACTATAGAGAGCTGCTGCTCAGCAACTATTTCTTATTCATCTCTTCTGACAGAATACATCTTGTTTTCCTGTGTGCACTCATGACTGCAAATGTATCGTCCCAGTGTAAATGAGGGGAGTGTGTGCTTGCATGCAGGCAGAAAAAAACTTAAAAAATCAGATTTTAGCCATATTTTTCACACCAGTGTTTGACAGTCAATCTCAGAAGTCCTGACCCCCACGATGATGTTTCATTTAGACCAAGTGATTTGCATCGACTGTAACATTGAGAGTACTGTGGCTGCGCTCTAATCCATCTCACATGCTTCTTTTCCTGCAGCCTCTGAGCGGTCGTGGGCGAGCCGGAGAGAACTGTACAGCGTGCAGCGCCCATCACCATATCAGTCAATACGACGACACGTTGTACCTGCACCTTTGATCCAGGCACGTTGATCCCATGCATGTCTGTTCCATAAATATTACGTAACCATAACAATCAAAGTCCTCAAGTAACTGCACAGTGTAATCAGTCCAGTGCAAGTTCAGTATTTTAGTTGCAGATCCCATGAATACCTTTTAGAACTGTTTGTGTCAAACACCGGATGTAAAGCAATGAAATAAAATGACCTGCAGTCTGATTGTGGTATTGTACAGCATTTAAAGAGAGCGAGACAGAGACAGAGAGACAGAGAGAGGAAAGGCAGATTTCAGAGGAATCTGCCAAGAGATTGTAATCAATACTGTAATAAACTCCTCAAATCATAAATGTAGCTGCCAGGAACACATTGAGATTCTACGCATTGCTACCTCAAAAACATACACTTGTAGAATTCTTACAGCCTTTAAAAACAATGTTTTATTTGCATGAAATAGGTAATTTTGTAAAAGTAGGCGTTGCCAGGCAAATCTCATTTTAGGATGAAACTGAAGAGATCACAAGAGCTGATGGAAATGAATGTAAAAAAAGCTTATTTAGAAACTGTTTCAGTTCAAACTCACAACAGAGCAGTAGAGAGATGGAGGGGAAACACACATACAAGATCACAAACCAATTAAAAGAGTTCAAAAGTCATCCAGCGCAGTTAGTTGCTGTTACTCTTAAATGAAACACACAGAAACACAGTAACGTCCAACAACGCAGCAATAGAACTGATGTTCCACCGGAGATACTGTTCACTTACAGGATCGGGTCGCTACAGCCTCCTGCTTCACACACACATGTGACAGCTGACAGTCAACCCACCCTGAGGATCTATAGCCCTCCTTAACGATACGTTACTGATCTGTGCAGCATGGAAAAACTATGTAATTCATATTTAAACAGGTCGATCTGAAGCGGGGGAATCAGTTTCTATACGTGGAGGTCAAAAGACCCACACAACTACAGGTTACACTATTTAGTTGATTGTTACACTGCAGTAAAACACACACACACACACACACACACACACTATCTAACGTTATTGGATGCAATTGCACACATTCCATCACGGATTACTCCAGACGTTCCCATCACTCCTATAACAAAATCATAATGATATCAAAATGCAACTAATATAAGATGAATCTCTGTTCAGAGGAAATCTGGTGATTGAATGTTTATCTAAAATGTGAATCGAATGATCTCGGAGATTCCAAATACCTCAAGGTGACTTCAGACTCACACGCAGGTACCACAAACTTGAAATTACTGCAGGATAATCAGAATATTAACATTTGTCTTCATTTGAGGGAAGGTCACACTCATCTACAGAGGTCAGCCGCTCACACTGGAGACGCGCACAGCGGCTTGATAATCTGCGAGAATAAACAGGCTTTAACTCACCATTTCCTTGTGGAGACGCCGGGTCCTGAAAGCATGTCACGACACTAAATCCCCACGAGCCAGAAGCGCATTGTTCTTCAGTCCGAGCTCAACGCAAAAACAACTAATTACTGAACCTGAAGAAGAGAAAGTAGAGCAGCACGAGGTCGTCGCTGGCGCTCGGGAGTCTTCGTGGGAGGGAAACGATACGCGGAGCGCGGCGGAATGTGGAGGAAGTGTCCGTGCGTAAGAGACCAGCGAGGAGCGACTAGCGGTGCGCGTCTGGAGACACCGGAGAGAGGGGGAGAGAGACACGGGGGGGAAGTGGAGAAGCCTTTTGGAGAGGTGGAGGAGATATTTTGGAGAGTCTGAGCGGAGTCAGCAGCGGAGATGTTGCGCTATGCCGCTCTGCCTGAACTCACAGCGGACACCAACCCGCGCTGGTCTAGTCCCTCCTCTTCAGCCCTGAAGTGAGGAAAGCGTGCGTCCATCTCTCCCCCTCTATCTCCCTCTCTCCCTCCCTCTCTCTTCTGTCATTGTCACTCTACATTTGTCCAACATGATTCATGGTTATCTCGCTGCGTATGTGCGCACTTGAGTGAAAGGAAGGAGAGATGTGACTCTGTAGGTCAAAGACGCACAGATGCAAGTTTTGTGATGTGATCTTATCTTAAGTTCTGCAGTAAAACAGAGAGAAAACATAATACATATTATTTTGTTGTTTACTTCAATAAATATAATACGTTTGCCATTATCTTAACCTCAATTTGATCTTGAATACAGATGATCTTTAATTTATACTGGCCATTTTAAAGTGAGTTATTACAGAGTAAACAACATGTGAATGGTCAGAGGTCACAGTGACGCAGAGACAATCAGCATGTGTTTAAATGGGCAAAGATACAATATGACCAATTTGACAGATCTCTTCAATTCAAACACATTCTCATTCCATCTCGTCGGTGGCTTTATCAGGCCCCGTGGCGTCACCGTTGTGAATTCAGGAAAAACATCCCAGTTGGGCTTAAAATAATGATGAAACTATAATATCAGTACGAAGAACACATCACAAACATCCCGACAGACATGTTGGGACACAAAGACTAGGGTTAGAACTTCATTCTTTTGACATCAGACTGTATGTGTACTTGTATGTCGTCAGTGTGGTTTACAGCTCCTCTCATGAGAACAGGATGGTTCTCTTGACATTCATCAGTGAATCTGTTTGTGAATCTGTAATCGTGAGTCAGGACGTGCTGGGCTGCCTCTAAGGAAGTCGGGTGACGTAAAATAAAGAGCCTCAAAGTTCATGTCGGGAGGTTACAGTGGATGGATGAGTCAAACGAACACAGGACTTTCACCCAGGAGACTGCTCTTCATGTCCGGTGTGAAAGGTCAACGTTTAGTTTACTTTTGTTGTAACTTGCATAATACCACCTTCATAAGTTACGCTACTAAGCATGCTTGTTGCCCTTGTTGCCCTATTTCATACAGACCGTTCTATGAGGATACGTTGACTTTATCTGGACGGTATCCTGATGTGGTGCAACCAAATGAATTCAGTAATCAGATTCAGTTCGTTTGAAATGTTCTTCCTTTGGTTTGAACTGAAAGAGTCCTTTAGAAACCACGAATAAGTAAAAGATGAAGATCCCAGCTGGAGCCTCTATGCAGTGTGAGAGCTTCTCGGTCATCATATTTAGTTTGATGAGAGGAATACATTTACAATAGTGTAACATCTGGTCCATCTCAGGAAGTAGCTGAGCAGATCAGACTTCACTCTTCCTTTAATTGCTCTGAAGGGCATTCACACCTGTTTCAAAGCAGATGGATCCGTTCTACGTCCTCCAATAAACTTAAAGAGAAACACATCAACATCGCTGCACTGCCCTCTATGGGTTGAAAGGTGCAGGTCTGTTTTACTTGTGACCACACCCACCTGTGATGTAGTGTTGCACAGCAGTGAAATGTGACAAGTCACACCTCGTTTACTATTCACACACTGCAAACAGGATTATTATAAGATTTCCACCAGCGAGGCTCCTGCTGCCATCCCTATACTATGTAGTCCATTTGAACTTGGTTTGCCGAGCATGAACTGCAGCGTCCTCGGTTCATTTTCTGTCAACTCTCCATTCTTGTTATCAATAAAGGCATAAATCCCCTAAAATCACCTCCAAGAAATAATGTTCCAAGTATTCAGGACAATCAACCGACTTCAGTTTCAATTTTGTATTTTTCACACAAAAAACCTTCAAATGAAAACTGTTCAAATCAATATTGATGATCCCCAGTAAACATCTGTAAAGAAGTTTTTTTAATACTAGTTTGAGCATGACACACCCCTTTGATGCATTCGGGGAGGTTGCATTGTTTGCCAATGCATTAACATTTGACTATTAAATTAGATTCTCACCTCCATATGAACAGTGAACACAGTTGTGTCTAATATCTAAATATTTTAAGACCAAATTTAGCCTCACCATACTTCAACTATTATAAAAAGGAGATTAATAAAATATGTTTTTTGTATAAAGTATTAAGCATGATACTAACGCCTCCATGAATTCCATTTCCTTAAATCAGTGAAAGGTGAACCTACAGTAGGTGAGCGGGATGTTTAGACCTTCTTCACTATTAGAAACGGCTCCAGCTCTCAGACTCTCCTCTCCATCCATCACATCTATCTTTTGACCTGAAATGATCTCTATTTATTTCTCTAACTCTGTCTGTTTGATGTTGTGTCTTCCTCTTTATTCCATCAGTGTCTCCCCTTCGTATATAAGGTATCCCTTATCCCAGCCTGTTGTTAATGAATATGTCACCTTGGTTTGAGCCGTAACTATAATTCCACTTTGGGCCACGCGCCGCCATTTTGACTGCTTGAATAAAACAGTAAAGTGCATAATTTCTCCAAGTTTTTTTTCAGGTTTATTCAATGGCGCCTGAGACCAATGCAAGTTGATGTGGTGCTAAAAATGTGATGTCTTTGAATATTGTCCCAAGAGGCCACAATGGAGCAATGGTACACATTATTCTCTGTTGTTCTGTGAATGCCTGATCAGTGGTTTCTGAAGATATTGTGTGGGAGAATAATTTCAACGTCAAATGTGGCGTCCGATACATGACGGCCGGACAGATGGACCAAAGCCGCTTTATTGTCCCGCCCACTATCTATTCATCAAAGACAGTAAAACACAGAAGAACGAGCAACAGTGAAGAGGCTTCAAACCTCCTCTCAGTCTGACTCACAGTCTAGTCTGCCAAATATCTAATGTCCACATAAGTTGCCATATACTCTTAGTATTAATAAAAATGTACTGGGATATGGCATATTTATGAAAATAAATATGCACTGTAAGGTATAGTTAAAGAGAATAGGCCTCAAACTACATAGAGATAGAAAGAGTCCTCATCAGATGATGTGGGACATATCAGAGTAGGACCGTCTCTGTTTCTCCGACTGTCTCCCTCCTCTACCGATCATTTCTACGTAACTCATCCCAATCATCCTAATCGGCCATTAACAAGCTCCTCAAAAAGCATCAAAAGCCAATCCATGATTCTTTTTCAGTCAGTTAATTTGATAATTCAGTCAAGAGGAGACTTCATGAGAGCAGACCGACTCCTTCTGCACAGACAGAATTTGAACTCCGGTAAGGAGAATTACTTTTACTGGTTGTGTTTCTAAAAATAACTTTATGGACTTGGTTTATTGGCTTTTCTGTGCTGTTTTTGAATGTCGTCTTGTCGTTTAACCTCTTTTGAATCAGGAGTTATGTGCAGATGATGTCCATTTTGTATCTACCTAACCACAGTATCAGGTCACTGTTAGACTTTTGATTTTACTGTTACGGTAAGATCTTTAGATCTTTATTGTTATTATGTTTTACAGTAAAACAGCTTCAGCGTGATTGTGCTTTAAGTACAGCTGCAGATACAACCAGTATAGTACTTTCTAGTCTTTATTTAATTTGTGATTAAAAAGCACACATTAGTTCCATCATGGATGGAGGATACCTGATCTTTAATAAAATACAGTTTAATCTTTTTATGGACATAAAATGAGTCTCGAACAGCTGACGAACAAATCACTTCTGGTAGGATTACAGTTTCACAGTACTTTGCAATCTCATCAACTTTGTGTGTGCTTTAAAGATTGTGCTTGAAGGTGTGCAGTTTTTGGAAGCCTTAAAAGTCAAAAGTAACTTTTGTATTGTTCAACCTGGACTCTTTTGTTCCATGTTTTTGAGTCTAAGTAACTAATGGGGACACCAATTTATAAAATGTGTCCAGTATTGAGTGAGAGCACTGTAGATGGAGCAGTTCTCGGGCTGCATGTCATTTACTTCCACTAAAAGGGTTTGTTTTGCCACCGACGGGCTCAGATTGTTAATATTGTCGCTCTAGGAAAAGTCTCGTTCTTAAATGTCTATAAGCGACGTGTTGCTGGACGACTACGGTGGAAATGTGAGTGCTGGAGTTTTGTGTTAGAGTACAGAAAGCTTAACTTATGTAACCACTATATCCATTCACCACCTCCTCCTAAATTTCGTCCTCAGGAAGTCGTCGTAATACATGTTCAACATGTAGCCAGATCTCCAACTTTCCTCATCAGCCCTGCAGATATTCAACTAGCCCTTTTTTCCGCTCACTCTTAGCCAGATAGTGAACGTTACCATGTTTGTTGAACCTTTGCTTTCAAACCACCAGAACCTAAACCTTGTTTTTGAGCAGCATGTGTGGACTGCTGTGAATGAGTGGACGCTTCCTGCTCACGTTGGATGTGCACTGTTGGGTTTGTGTTGGCCTCTCAGGCCTGTAAATTAAACTCCTCCGTAGAAAAAGAGCATCATATTGTACCCTAACTACCAAAATACGAGGTCCATTAGAAGATGGAATGGAGGTGCAGAGAGAGCGCAGCCAAACTTTCATCTTTCCTGATCTGCACAAATGGTTCTGGGCTCGCTGTATGTCTGTGGTCTGGTGTAATGGCTTCCTGTGATGAGCTTTCACCATGTTCCTTCTGTCCTCTCGTTTCACAAAATCAATATATGTAAGCCTGCTCTCTGTAACCCAATTTTACTTTCGTTCACTGTGGCATCATGTCGGCTGTATCACTCAAATAGTTGACATTGTTCACTTGTAATGTGTAGCTTCTCAGGCTGAGAAATCAACTGTTTGAAAGAGGCTTAGGCAGTCTAGATGTAGTTTTTACACTATGAAATAGCCTGTTTGTCCCATATTTTGACAATAATCATTAGTACCTCCTAATATCTGTTTTAAGACGACAAGATTTCACATCATGTGCGTGCTGACCTTTCAGCTCTGCATCCCTAATATATGTATATACACAGTATCTGCTGACCAGGTGCAGCCCAACTATTCAACAAGTAACGGAATATTGTATAGTATAATCTTGTATTGCGAGTGCAATATTATGCTTTTGG